CGCCTTTAATGTAATAACTGGAGACCTTTGCCACTTACTGCTCCCCTTAATGCTGGACATGTCCCTCACCCTCAGGTGGCCTCTATTTTGTCCTCAAAATGAGGGGATGCGCTAGATGGTGATGCAGATTATCCTCTCTGATATACTTTTATATATTAATATTGGCCAGATTTCAAATTTTAAATTTGGTTATCAACATGCCCACTAGTTTAACTATAATTTTTCAAAGGGTAAACATCCTTAACTTTTGGATATTTTGTGATTGGTTGAAAAATCAGCCTTAATGAAGGTCTTTTTCCTCAAAGGCAAACATGGTTTTGTAGAAATGTGCACATTTGCATGTTTAAATAGATCTGATTTATATTGTGTGAACTATCCTTACTGATCATTACATTGACTTTGAAATAAAATGATGACTTAGAAATGTAAGCGGTATATGCTCTAATATACCATGAAATTAAAGAGAGAGAAAAATCCTACAAACCTTATTAAACTTAAGAATTGTGTAAATCAACACACTTTTTTTGTCTGCTCTTCTTTCCCATGGAAATTGTTTTCTATCATTCAATCTGTGAACATCAGATAATTTTAAGTCCCATTTTACATTGTAGTAATGATGATAGTAATGGCAGTTAACATTTATGGAATGTGTAGTAGTTGTCAGGCTATATATACCCAGGGTTTTATGTGAATTTTCTCATTATTTCTACATTATAATCTCTATGCCCAGCCTGTTGTTTAGTATGCTCCTGGAGAAAATCATAATGCTCAGTAGTATTTGTTTTTCATATATACACGAGTCCAACTGTACATACACTGGTGGTCCCATAAGGTTATAATAGAGTTCAGAATTCCCAACCAGAGAAAGAGACATAGTGAATGTGACTGCTTTGAGCATCCAGCACACGTAGCTCATTCTCTTGGGTTCACACAAAGCATTGCACTGCAAGGCATTTAATGTTACAATACACGTATAACATAGAATGCATATGTCTTGATAGCCATAATAAACTGTTACTGGCTTACTGTAGTATATTTTCAGTCTAAAATGTATGCTGTGACTTGTAGGCACAGTGGGAAGGTAGCATCCAATCTCATGCATTGCCTGGCTCTTGACAGTAATAGTGCTATCTTTCTGTTTAATTTTCTTTTGAAAATATTGCCACGAAGAGCACCATGGCTCCCAAAGGCGCAAAGCCAATGCTAGTGACCGAAGCAGCAAGAAGTAAAGGGGAAGCAAGGATCTGAGGAGAAAAGAAAATTAACTCAAAGGTGGAAGGTCAGGGAATGCTAGTGCTCCTGATTTCAGGGTGTCACGCTCAGCCATCATGACGCTCTTCAAAAACAAAGAAAAAATTCTCCAAGCTGTTAAAGCCCCACTGAATACTACATGAATAAGGAGAATGTTACGAGATACCTAAATCAGATAAATGAGACCTTACAAACCTCTCTCAGCTCATTGAGGATCACCGTGAAGGCAAAATGCTTATTCGAGATGCCTACAGAAAAAGCAGGACCACACAATCTCCATATCACATAATTTCTTATTTCATAAACTATAGCTTATTTCATAATATATTCTATGAAATCTTATTTCTATATCTCTATAGAGCTATATGGCTTGCTGCCTGAGTGGTACGAAGAGTTAAGTGCTTGTGTACTAAATAAAAGGTTAGTGGCTTGAGTCCATCCACCCCAACAATCTCAAAACAAAGCTAGAAATCTATTTCTGAAAGTCGTCGCCATTGACAGCCTATGGAGTACATTCTCTTCTGACGTACATGGGCTGCCATCATTCGGAATGGATTCAGTGGCAACTAGGTTTTTGTTTTTATTGATTTATTGATTTTTAAGAAATCATTTTATTGGGGGCTCATATAATTCTTATCACAATCCATCCATCCATCCATCCATCCATCCATCCATCCATCCATCCATCCATCCATACATCCATACATCCATTGTGTCAAGCACATTTGTATATTTGTTGCCATCATCATTCTCAAACCACTTGCTTTCTACTTGAGCCCTTGCTATCAGGTCCTCATTTTTACCCCTCCCTCCCCGATACCCTTCCCTCATGAACCCTTGATAATTTAGAAATTATTATTATTTTGTCATGTCTTACACTCTCCAACAACTCCCCTCCACCCACTTTTCTGTTGTCCATCCCCCAGGGAGGAGGTTATGTGTAGATCCTTGTAATCGGTTCCCCCTTTCTATCCCAACTTCCCTCCACCCTCCCGGTATTGCCACTCTCACCACTGGTCTTGAGGGTCACATGTGCCCTGGATTCCCTGTTTCCAGTTCACATCTGTCCCAGTGTACATCCTCTGGTCTAGCCAGATTTGTAAGGTAGGATTAGGATCATGATAGTGGGGGGTTGGAAGCGTTTAAGAGCTAGAGGAAAGTTGTATGTTTCATCGTTGCTACCCTGTATCCTGACAGGCTCGTGTCCTCCCCACGACCTTTCAGTAAGGGGGTGTCCGGTTGCCTACAGATGAGCTTTGGGTCTCCACTCTGCACTCACCCTCATTTACAATGATATGATTTTTTGTGTGTATTCAAGTAGTAAAAAGGAAGAAAATCTTCAACAAGATTGACTGATAACACAGCAGCTGCTACAATGGGCTCAAATACAGCAGCAACCACGACTGTGCAGGGCTGGGCCGGGTTTTGTTCTGTT